TACTTTTATCACTCCTTATTTCATAATATCATCTATATTTTAAGGACACGAAAACTGAACATCTGTATAAGTAAAACATTAGTCAATCCAAAGAGCGAAATAGTTAATTTTTCAATAAATAAAATATCGCACTTGCTGTTAGAAGGTACACAAAAGTTGCAAAAGACGAAATAACGCCTTTCTGCAATCAAATATTTGAAATTTCATTCATGTGCTAATGTGCGAAATGATATTTAAATAATAGACCGACTTAATAGCAGCGGTAAGTCATTTGTATATTTTCTTTCTTCAGGCTGATCAAAAGCATGAATATTTAATGCCTCACTCTTTTAGGTTTAAGATGCTGAGTTCATATACAAGCTTCAAAACATTCTTCAAAAAAAGAATAGAAACGAATGCAAAAGTTGGAAACCTTGTATCCAGATCCTGCAGTTCCGGCTCCCAAGCCTGCTTTTCCTGGAGCACCATATGGTTTCGATGCGGGTTTCTCTCCCAACTCAGCCATCAGTGCCGTGTACTGAACAATAATAGTTAAGAAGTTAAAAAGATAGTAAAAAAAATCAGCACTCAAACTACAAAAAAATATGGAAAAATGGTGGTACTAATTAAAAATACAAACAGAAAAAGAGAATAAATTAAATAAAAAAACTTCGTCATCCATTCCACCATCTCCCATATTGAACATTCCGCTACCAGGCCGTGGATTTTTGCAGTCCTTCGCAATATGTCCCGCACCACCACATGCAGTACAAATAATATTTGCAGTAACATTTGGAGCATCTGGACATTCCCACCTGAAAATTCTTTTGCAAAAATACATGGTGGACAATGGAACAGATGATATTGATACTAACCTACCAGTTGATACCAACCAGATGATACTGGTTATCATGACAAATACTATATGGTCGACTAGTCAATAAATTTTGAGAATCCAATGAAACCCTAAATTTGACGTGAAATTCTTACAATACGAATTATTTATAACTAATACTCACGTTTTATGTTCATCAGAACCGCAATTACTACATCGAGCACCACTTGCCAAATCCTCAGGTCGCAGAGTACCATTCAAAAGTGCAAGCTCTCTCAGCTGTAGCTTACGCAATTCATTCTGGCCATCGGGTATCATCAGTGCTTCATTTATAATTGATGTTATCTGGAAAAAGTGGACTTAATCTTTTAAAAGTTTGTTCATATTTCCAGAACAATGTAGCATAATAAAATTACAGAAGCGTGAAACATACTTAAAATAATTAAGTTTTATGGGCTCACGAAACAAAATTTATAATCACGGCAGTAGTGAATCTTATTTAAACAATAATTTCGGATAAGTATTTCCTTATAATAAAATATCACAATCTAAGTATAAAACTATATTTATAAGAAATAGTGTGCTTTCAATATGACAAACCTAAAATAAAAAAAAAAATTAAAAAAACAGCATTCATCACAAAGATTTACAAAAATGCCAAAAAAATTCTCAAATGTTCTTTCTTTAATTTCAATGTTTCCATACGAAAAATTTGCTTCTCTTAGTAATTACATAAAATATGGGCTATGAAATGCATACTGGTAGCCCTTGAGACTGATGAAGTATGAAAATATAATAATCATAAAAGTCTGCTTCAAGGGTACCAGTAGAAAACTAATAAAAAAAATATTCAAATATTTTAAATTTTCGGAAAAATTAATATTCGTATGGAATAATTAAAAACTTCTTACTTTTTCACAAGCCTTTTTTATAACTGTATAATCTGTGCCTGTTACATAAGCATGAAGGGGCTCATTTTCACCAGGCATTGGTCCTTCACGACGTCCCAACTTGCCTTCCTTTACTGAACCTTTACCACGAATTATAATTTTGGCACCTGTCTGAAACATTTTAAAAAGTCGAAGATCTTTCACAATTGCAAAGCACTTTTTCCAGATTGTAAGCATTTCCAAAGTGTCAGTCAGATGAAGCAGTTACAACATGATAAGAAGTCATAATAAAAATTAGCTGAAATCGAAGATAAAAAATAATGCAATGGATCAATTACAATGAGCAATAATAATATAATAGAAAACCTCGGCTTCCAAAGCCTTCAGAGTATTTCCGCGTGGGCCAATCAATAATCCCACAAAATTAATTTCGGGATGATTTTCTTGTGGTATCCAAACTTTGTCATGCAACCGTATTGTTGGTGCTCTAGAAGATAATGAACTAATGAATCAATTCTGGATAATTTTCCATGTTATCACAAAAATCGCTTAACTTTTTCCTCAACTTGCATCATATCATACATCATTTGATGTTATAATATCGAGATCACATGCTTGATATAATAGTAAATTCCTCCATCAAATACGCACCTGTAATCTGCTGGTGGTTTGAAATTTGGATTTAATTTCAACAATGCTTGAATTTTTTCATGCCGCAATTGCTCCAATTCCTGCCTTTTTCGTATTTCACGGGTATTCAGCCGTTTACCACTGGCATCATAAATTGGTTCTGGTGAAGGACTTCTGCAAAATCAATATGATAGGCTAATTGTAACTACAAATAACAGGCTGAAAATTTATTACTATTATTTAATTTGAACTGTTGAATTTCCCAGGCAGCATTTTTCCGCTCACGAAAAGCAGGCGCTAAAAGGCTAAAAAAGAGATTTGATTAGGATTAAGATTAGTAGTCTTTGCGGTGATGAGAATTCATCCTGAAAACAATTTTTTTAGATTTCTAGCGCACGGAGGTGAGGAAGCGTGTATTCAGAGGTTGGATCATTAACATAGTCGCAAGAATTATTCGACTAAATGTACTTCTAATTCTATTTTCTTTTCGATTAAAATCCGACTAAAAAATAATTTCAAAAAAGTACAAGCTCAAAAAACCAACATTTCGAAACTTTATCAACTTTCCTCCTCTAATGAATTTCCTCGTAAAATACACTTCAAAATAGGGGAGCACTAACTATGATTGAAAGTAGTAGAAATGATTAAATCATTAACCGATACTAAAAAGTTCTATAGTGATGGGTTTTCGAGCGCAAAGTGATACTAATCACCGAAGAGCATGCTGCGCTGAATAAATCAAAAGGTTTCAATATCGTGAGCTGAACCTATTTCGCCAGCGGGTATGGAGCAGAAAGAACTTAAAATTCATTAAATTGAAAAATTTTGAATAAAACTTGTATGCATCATCCTGATGAGTGACACTGATAGATTCAAGAATAACGCATGAAGGCGTCCATCAACATCATAAATGTTCAGCTAGGCTACAAATGTGTTTGTTAAATTGTAGCAATAAACGTTATCGTTTATTGATTGATGAACCTTAAGGCTGGATCCGGATTGCCCATGAAATCGCCAAGACGTAATTTTCGCGTTGCATCTTCCACTTCCAATTGAACTGAAATAGGTGGTTACGGGGCCACCCTCCCCCGTTCATTAGTTTACAACAAACATCAACAGTTGCAACAACCGATCTTGCTCAGAATTTTAAGTTCAAAATTTGAAATAAAATTGAAAAAAATGGTATAAAAAAGGAAAAGTAAAGCAAAGAATGATATAATACTATGCTTTTGATGTACATGTATTCGTCTTTTTAATGGAGATCTTCCACAATGACCCCATAGCTAATCTTCGCTCCAGAGCACGTCTCCAGTGCCCTGGAACGTACATCACAGCATTCAGGGTCTTGCACATACCAAATAACACCCCGTTTTTTTTATCACACCCACAGCGACAATAAAATTCATAACAAGTTAAAAAAATAAAAAAAGTAAAAATATTACGAACCTGATTAATCGAACCTCATTAATCCTTGCAAACAAAATTTTTCAAAGACTTTTAAAACAAAAATTTTAAATACACAGTGTAAGAAACAGCAACAAGAAATATAAATCCTTACGCAAATAAGCTTGTCGTTGATCATCGCTAAGATTGGACGGTAATATCGTTGGCATCCCCGGTACAAAAGATTTGTTAGTGCTCCAACGCGATTTACGAGGCTTCTTTTCAGGTTGGTCGGTTTCATTTGCGCCACCTGCTCCGTCATCTTCAGTTTTCAGTTTGTCAACTGTAAGGATTTGTTATATTCAAAAAATGAGGATTTTTTACAAAAGGCATTATTTAGTAACTGTGGTTTCACTTACCAACTTCCGGACGAGCCAAGATCGGGAGTACACCCTGTGCAGATTTTAATTTTGCAGAGCCAGCAATGTTAGCCTGCAAAAATAACATTTCTTAATAAGCGAAATGCAGTATGCAGTATGCACTTAAGATCCTCGTTGTCGCAATATATTAAAAGATCGACTCATAAATTATTGAAAAGTAAAAATACACATAAATCATGACACCGCAGCCACCATGTAAGAAAACGAAATCGTCATCAAATTTTTCTGCTTAATCTTATAAGCCAAAAATTTGACAAAAAGTTACTGTGAATAATTAAATATATAAATAAAGGTTCACATTAGTTTGATTTTCTTGACTGTCGTTCTGTTCTTCAGGTCTTTTCGGTGGAGATCCTGTGCGATCTGAAATAAAATTCAGATTTTTATTGCAGGATGTGCCTTTATCTTACAGCAACAAGAGAATTTTCGGCCTACCTCTACGCCTTCTATGTTTACTTCTACTCCGACTTCGCCTACTATGACTTCCACTTCGTCTACTTCGACTGCGACTTCGTCGACGACTGCGACTTTGACTTTTTCTATTGCGACTAGAGCTGCGCCTACTGCGGCTACGTTTTCGCGAATGACGTCGATCGCGAGAACGTGAACGACGTTTACTGCGATTTCGTGAACGTGATCGCTTGCGTTTGTGCCGGGAATGAGATCGTGAACGGGAGGAACGCTGTTTTGGTGACAAATATTCCGGAACTGCTGGAGCATATGATTCTAAAATTAATTTACATTGCATATTAAAATAAGAACATCCAAAACTTGAGACACAATTATTTTTCTATAAATAAAATATGCTGGTTTTTAGCAGCAGTAAACTGCTGAAACTCAGTAACAAAAAATAACGAAATGCAATTTATGAAAAAGCGCGAGAAATATTTTCAAAAACAATGCAGCGAGATAGATGGTTTCGCTTAAAACCCGAACTCCATACCCTGGTCATAAAATGAAAGAACCTGGAACATTCCCATTGCTACCTTCTTCCGCGTTCTCCACTGGCTCAATAGTCGGTTCACCAGCTGCAGCTGCAGCAACCGCTGCCGCACCAAATTTCCGTACAAATGGCATCGGCTCCGTATTACCACCGGTTTTATCGCGTGATCGCGACATATTCTGTTGTTCTTCTTGACAATAGTAAAACTAAAACAACAATTACATATTATGGAAACATTATTTGGACACCGTTACAATTTGTACCATTCCGATGCAAACATTTTTCTACCATCTAAAAGAGGAACGATGAGGAACACACGTTCTTGAACATAATTATAGTCTAGCCATAACATTTCAATAACACTAATGAAACTATATCAACATTAACCTCCATTTAATACTCCCTGTAATCATTATGATCATTATTAAAAGCAATTTATAAAAGGTATTACCAATTAAGAATTAGATCTTACAAAAACAAAAAAACCAATCTCTTTTAATTTATTTATTTGCCGTAACTTCTACGGCTATGTAAAAGAAATAAACTGTTTACAATTTGCATAAATAAACATGAACAACACAACAAGAACAATGCTTTAAGAGATCGACACTATAAATTTTCCACATCTCCCACGCTACTTTTCGTCTCCTGTTTCAGCTCACCGCATTCCACAATTGTCACCTGAAACGCTACAACGCATTTATACGCACCGATTGGTCCACAGCCGCTTAAAAGTCTAACTTTTCTTTAAGGAAAAATCTTCTAGGGATCTGTAAAGTTAATTATGAATAAACGTAAAATGATCCTCAGCACTTTAAACAATTCTTATTCGTTAAATAAAAATTGAAGATACTAGAAGGACACTCAAGGTTTGTACAAATAACTCCGCTGTACTAATTAATTTAATTCCACATAAACAGAAGGTTAAAAAATGCAGTTTCTTTTGAAGAAAAGAACCTACGAATAAAGTGATAAAAGCAATAACTGCACGTTATTACATTTCATACTCAACTACAAGAATTAGCATACCTGCATCATAGGCTTTCCACTTTTACTGCCTTGTTGTTCGACCTGTTTCACAATATTCATTCCTTCAACAACATGCCCAAAAACGACATGCTTATTATCTAGCCAATCCGTTTTTTCGGTGCAGATGAAAAACTGAGAACCGTTTGTATCGGGTCCACAATTTGCCATTGAAACAATGCCTGGCATTGTGTGTTTTAACTGAAATTTTCGAGAATCAAACCAAATCAATCAAAAGTCTCACGTTACATATGCCGAATCAAAGAAATCAATTGGAACCAAGGTAAGCATTTCTTATGCCAAACCAAAATTTGAAATTTTGAACCTTGAAATTTTCATCTGCAAATTTAGAACCATATATTGATTTTCCACCTGTTCCATCCCCCTTCGTGAAATCCCCCGCTTGTATCATAAAATGTGGAATTATTCTGTGAAAATGTGACCCTAAAAAAGTATGAAAGTGTCAAACAGTGCAACAAATTACACAGCAATAAAAAATCATTTTTTATACTGATTAGGAACTCAAAACCGTAACGAGCTATTAAAGAAAAGCAAAAAGTGCATAAGTAAAGAGAAGAGTAAAAAATACCTTCATAGCCAAAGCCTTTTTCTCCTGTACAGAGCTGTCGAAAATTTTCCGCTGTTTTTGGAACAACATCAGACCGTAATTCGATTACTATTCTTCCTATATACCTAGAAAAATTTGCAAGTTTACAAACAAAAATAGAAAGTTCAATAAATATTCAAATATGATAAGGTAAGATGATTACGCTTCCAAGTACAAGATCTAATTTATAAAGGCAATACATCGGAAATTATTTTTCGAAAATTACCTGATTCCAATTCTAATTCCCAAGTATACTCGTGGAAGCAATAGCTTAACGGGTCCTACTGTTGGCTCTTCAGGAATTGTATCGCCCTCTTTATCACATTCTCTCGACGTTCCCTCTCCAGAACCATACTAAAATTCCATTATATAACTGCTATAAACGGCAAATTTCTGTAACTAAACTTAAACGTATCGTTGAAAATAAAAATAGGAACAGTTAATATAGAAATAGCTACTTTTTTTCATGCAGTATAAAAACTCACGCTTCCGAAAATTTAGAAAGTACTTTCTGCATTTCGATAATTTTAAAAGCATTTTTCCTTCGAAAAATTTTTGAAATGATTGAAAAAGTTGTAAAACATCAAGAAAAAATTTTAAAACTTCTATCTATTCTGAAATACCTATGAAAAAAAGAAAAACAAATAAATAACTCTAAAAAAATACACGTACAAAAGTTATATAGGCACACTACTAAGGACATATTACAGCATACAGAAGCAAAAAACGGGAATTGCTCGTAGAGCAAACCATTTCTATTGAATATCACCACAAAATTTACTGTGGCTTTCTTTTGCTAGATATTATTTCTTCTGGTGTATGCTAACATATAAGTATTTGTCATGCATGGTTTTTGTCATGTATAGCTTTCCCTTCTATTACTACCCGCTGTATTTATAATCGTATTTAACATTTATCCTGCATATATCGTTTGAGAATTCCATTTTCTATCAATATAGTGCAACCAAGAGTAGTACCTTCATCAACCATACTAAAAGAGCCATATAAATCAGATAAAGTTCTACCATTAACTAATGTGGTACTACTAGCTGCTACTTGCTTACCAATAAAATTTGAATATGGTAAAACTATTCAGACCAAGGTAACTTCCAATTTCGAAGCAACCTCTATGAGAGATGACAACTGTATAATAAAGGACCATCACAAATTGAGCAATACCAGGCCTGTAGTGCACTTTAATGTGCTGATCATTAATTTGTAATTTCTTTTCACTTTTTCTCAGATAAACATCTATAGAAATCTTTTCCATCATGTCCAGCAGAACCCCTTTCAGGACGACCACTTTTCTCTACAATGTTCAGCACATTAAAACGCACTACAGGCCTGGTGTTGCTCAATTTATGATGGTCCTTTATTATATAATTGTCATCTCTCGTAGAGCTTGCTTCAATACTTAATGTTTGTTTTAATGCTTAATTTGTACAATTTGCTATTCTCTACTTGGAGTTACATTTACTTATTCATGTAGATATTTTTGCACCTTTCATACTCGCTGACATCATTGAGTAATTTCATTTTCTAGATCCATATCATTTATGAATTAATCCTTGGATACAAACTTTTTGTCACTCCTCCTAGGACTTTTGATTTACTTCATTTAAAGATACTGAATTTCTTACTAACGAAGTGGCATCATTAATTTCTTTCTCAAAAGCACTAGTGCTCATCGTCATTGTGGCTTGATAAATAAAGATGCAAAAGAGAATAGCAATATTAAAAACTAGTGCATAAAGATTCAGTAAATTTGGGTGAACTCATAAATGTAAACAAGGGTAAAAATAATTGACATAGCTAATTATGTGCGCTGGTAATAATATACGAACAGAGTTTCGAACCATCGCTATATCTTTTCAGTTATATAACCACACAGCTTCAGTCACTTGGCTATTTCTCGAATTCTAAGCTCCAAATTCTCTAAATTTACATATAATACCGAGACTTCACAACATCTCTAATCCTCTTCATAACAATATTTTATACTAAACACAAAAAAGACCGCAATTTTATCAAATAAATATATTTTGAATTTCAGTCCTTCAATTCACAGGAATTTAAAAAATTCAAAATTCAGCACAAAATTGAAGATCCTTCGATACACATATGACAGAAACTAAAACATTGATTATGATAGCCTAAAAAGCAATCACAATGCCATCAATTCGCCATTATATTAAATCTCACTTCTGAATATGGCTGCATTTAGAACTTACAGTTTTAAGCCATTCGTCATCCGCCCATACCGGTCTTTGACTTCTTTCATTTGCTTTTGGTGGTCGAGCAAAATTGCATCGAATTGTTCGCCCAAATAATTCCGAATCATTCATATTATCTATTGCTGCAGCAGCATCTTCCGCTAATTCATATTCCACAAATCTAAAAACCTCAGAAATATTTAACGCCTAACATATAGCCAATTGAAAGCATTTACTTCATTCCATCGCAACGCTAACAACTATGCACTGAAGAAATAGTGTTTGTTGACAAGAATAATGGACAAAAATTTTTGAAAAATACCAGTGCATATGATCACCTCAGTTTTTTAGAAATATCTAACGTTACAATATGAATCATTTTACGAAGTTAAGTTTGATTTAATTCCTGTAACATCTCTGATCGTATGAGAAAAAAAAAACAAACCCAAATCCACGATGTTTGCCTGTCTCATAATCCAACGGAATAGACACGCTAACAATTTCGCCAAATGGTACAAAGCCAGCTTGTAATACTTTCTCATTAACCTCTTCGCCAAAACCACCAACATATAATGTTCGCTTCTTATTATGTGGAAAATTAGTCGCCAAAGACATTGCTAATTATCGAAGATAATACTAAATTTGAGGAAATAGCACATAATTTTATGAAATTAGCGAAGAGCAAATTATATAATTCGAAATTTCATTTCAATAAATATGCATCTAATAAAAAGTGTCAAATTTCTATCTAATCAAAAATTACATAATGCAAAATTATGTAAATAATTTCACACTTCTAAAGGTTATAACATACTTCTGCTAACATAACGTTCTTTTTTTTTATTAAAACAATAATGAAGAAAATCTAACATTAATAAATGTTAAAATAGTGTTATGATAAAAAGCAAATAAAAAATAACTCAGCATAAATTATTCACAACAATGAAAAACCAAAAGAACGTATAAAACGTATAAATTCTATAGACCGCTTTCCTTCCTTCGTCAACTTCAACGTACACAATTTCACGCAAAGTCTTAACTGTCAATTCAAGTAGAGGCACATATACAATGGGTGACCTCATACACATCACTACATTAATCTCGAACTAAACACACGCAACACGTACCTGTAATAATTATACCTTAACGACTCACACGCACGCACAACACTAAAATAACAGGAGGGACTGAATGATATTGATTTGAGCGAAGTTTCAGCTCAACAGTAAACATCGTCCATTCGGCACGCTCGATGTTTACTTATTTGAATTCCAATACGTTTGAGGGATGTTAAATGATCTTTGGTTATATAATAGTTGTTAACCTGAATCTGTTAATTTTAGCAGTCTACGTAATATTTATTAGCTCTTAGCGTAGATCTGTTAATTATAGCAATCATGCATAATGATTATTGGTTTTTTAATTTATACTATGACGAATTTAATTTCAATTTTCTATCAAATTATAACCAATGAAAGACAGTTGTTAATTTTCGTTGAAATGAATGTTTTATCATTTTAAGTAATGATAAGGTTGTGCAGTAAATGTTTTTTTTTTTTCAAATAACAAAAAATATTAATATGATAACTGAAGTGAATGGTTAAAAACAAAGAAAAGAAGAAATGTTGAATTTTGATGATGATAAGACAAATGAATTGAAAGGAATTACTACATGTGTTCCCATGTTCCCACTCTGTTATTTTCGGTACATATTTTCTTAAAAATTTTGATAAGAAAAAGTGCTTTTTAAGCTTCACGGATTGAATAAATGAATCCAATACTTATTAAACTTTTACAAATCAGGAAAAAATCAAAAATCGGTAGCATTTCGTTCGTAACGATTATTGTCTCTGATATATATGTTACAATTTTTTCTTTTGCCGTCTTGCATTTGTCCACTAGTTCCGGTTTATATCGAACATGTCATGGTAAATCTGTGAAACGGATACGAAGATAACGGAAAACGTCTTGGAAAGCTTTCATTTGATTCACGACTCATCACGCACATAATATGGCAAGATTTGACGAAGAATTGTGTGTGTGGTGACATTCCTTTTATGCGAAGTTCAGACTTCTAACACTTCCTACTGTTCATATGTTCAGATTAATTTGAAGTTATGACTTTATGCACGTACAACATGCGTACGATTTTTCCAGCTTTTCGAGAGTTTTTGAGTTTATGTTTTGCTGCAAGGGAACGAAGAGAGATGAATAACTACTATGTGAAATCTATGATTAAAATTTTACTTTTATTATGCAATATTCAAAGTACTGGAGTAATATTATAATGAGTAAAACACAAGGATATCGTAGATTTAAACGAAGTTTCGAAAATATCACCTGTATCTCTGCTTTACAAAAAGGAAAAAGACGAGTACATATTTTGAAACCATTTGAAAGAATAAGAGGAATCATAACTTATATACAATAAAAATGTATTCAAAAAAGAAGATAAAAATAAAGTATTAAAGCGAACAGAAATTATAAATTACAAGTATGCGACTGACGAACCATATTAGACACCGGAAGTATCTATTCTGTTGCTAAGTGAAATAGTTCCTAAATAGAAATTTCTAGTCATCGCACACGTCGAATTTAATCCAATCAATCTGCAGTCAGTATTGCTGATGCAACTCTACATTTGATAAGATCTGCATCAATCTGTCAAACAGCTATGAATAAAATTTGTGCCGCTAATCTCTTGAATGGAATTAAGTGAAAGCTATCCTTCATAAAACATCTCAATTTTAAATAATTCCACGTAACCTATATAGGATATAATTACACTATGGCAATCCGGGAAGTATCCTACTTAAAGCCTAGTTATACTGCATCTTGAACGATTATTGTTGAACCTTTTAAAAAATTGCTGAAAACTGTTCAGATTCCAGTTTTCCTATTTGTTTTTGAAAAGCAGTATGACAAAATATTTTCATATAAATATTCAAACAGTAACTTTCTTCATCAAATTAAAGCAAACCGAATCTCTACAATTAAAAGACAGTGTCTTGAAAAAGCTTGTTTTCCATCACAAAATATATGCATAAACGACTGTAATGGAACGTGAGATTTTAAATCAAATATGCTAAGGCACTAGCAAAAGGATAACCTAAAGCTATACGATGACAATATACTAATTTTATTATTCCCCATAGTTAGAAACAAAATTTTGGACAAAAGAACTGAAATAATCATGTTTTTGCACGTGCAGTTCAGATATTCTTTTGTTACTTTTCAGTAACATATTCCTTAATAATCATAAATTAAAAAAGCTGGACTATTTTTTGTGACTTACTTCTGATATTTTTAAGTTTCCATCTCTTCCACTTTCTTCAAAAAATCAGAACAGAACAGAGAAACAAAAAGATCTCCTTTTTCAAAATTCTCTGTTAATTTACTTTATTTGTTTCTCATATTCTTCTCCTTCTCTAACTTACGTTTTACCAATTTTAAAATTTAGATAAATAAGTCAATTCTTTATTCAATTTAACCAGTAACTGTAATTTCTACTGTTGCTAGAGAATTACGGTACAGAAAAAATCAGAAAATCAGATTAAACACAATGGGCAACTCCCGTAACACAAGGTGCACAACCACTGTCTTTTCCAAGAGCCATTGATGGTGGTCGTAATAAAGTGTCAACACGACAATCTGCCCACGCAACGCCTGCACCTGCTCTAAAATAAGAAAAAAAAAAGTTATAGCAGACTGCTGTTCCTTCATATTCTAATCTGATATATACCATTCATGCGAATATTTTGAATATGTAATATATATAAATTAATCTTAATGTGAACATTTGTAAAATAAAAAATGAAAACACAAATATAATTTAACCTGCACTGGCTAATAGTAGCCACCGAAGACCACTGATTAGTAACCGGATCGTATGCCTCTACAGAGTTCAAATATCTCACCCCATCATGACCACCAATTGCATAAATTCGTCCACCCATAGATGCAACACCAACACCACCTTGAAAAGGAAAATTCATACGAATTTCGAAAGTGACAAATGAAATTTGGTTTTTCGATGTGAAAAGCCAAAGTTTTCATACCTCTAGGGCATGACATTTGTGATAACAATGTCCAAGTATTATCTTCTGGATTGTAGCGTTCACATGAAGGTAAAGGCGCGTTGTCATCGAAACCACCAATTGCATACAAACATCCATCGAGTACCGTAACACCAGCACCAGCCCTATAGCAAAAATTTCGGTTTCAAGAGAAAAAATTCTAGGAAAATTTCTGACATTCGTTGTACAGCAGTTGAACACCAACTGTGATCAGTAAATGATAAACTCTTATTTTACATTTACAAATAAATTTCGAAAGTACTTTAAAATTTTTTTAGGCTTAATGCAGCAAGAAAAGAACTTGGAATATTGTACTACGATGAAAAAAAAAATAATTCGTTTTCATTTTGAGCGTAAAAAATACAATAAAAAAAATTGTTCCGTATGAAAAATAAACTATAAGATAAGGCAGAAACGAAATTCAAATTACATCATTGTAAACAATTTCCGTGAAGCAATAAATTTCTATCTTTTTAAATTTCATAAATTGTTTAAAAAACCGGATAAAAATCTTTCAATATAAACCTTCGGTGTTGCATGCTTGCAACTAATTTCCATTTGTTCAAAAGTGGATCATATCGTTCACATGAATCGAGTGATGAAGTACCATCATTACCACCTACCGCAAACAAATATTTACCTGTAAAAAAATGATTAAGAATAGCAACCTTTTCTCATCAAAATAAAATTACAAGTTTCAAGCAGACTTACCTACAGCAGCAACGCCAACACCGCCACGTTGTACATTCATCTGTTCTACACCTGACCATTTGTCCGATTCTATATCATATCTTTCGACGGTCTGCATGAAAACACTTTATTAATACTGTGTAAAATTATTATCAGTCTAAAATCAATTTAAATCGAAAAAAATTTGAATCTCTAATGTAAGAGTTTGGTATTTCTATAGATGAAAATATATGACACAACTCAACATGACTTTGTTCACATCAAGCTAAGCCCCATATTTTGCAATTATGAAATAGAAGCAAAAAGATCATAAATTGCTGAGTAAAAAAAAATTAAATAATAAAAATAAAAGGATAACAAAAATAAAAGCATACCAGAAAACATGCAGTATCATCTAATCCACCAACAGCATATATTGCACCTTCTAGTGCTCCAACAGCTATACCTCTACGGCGAGTATCCATAGAAGCAACGGTATGCCACATATTGGTAGCAGGATCAAAACATTCAGCAGAACTTAAATGGTTTGTTCCATCGTGTCCGCCAATTGCATAACTACAGCAAACAAGTGAAAATGAAGGAAGTTAAATTTAAGTGATTTCGTATATAAATAATTTTGTCACGAATTATAATTAAAGCCAAAAATGTTCCAAAATCATTTTTCTCTGCAAAAAAAAGACGGCAAAATCTCTGATAATCTCTGATAAAAAAAGAATATACATCAGGATTTAGCATTTTATTATCTAACAATTTACCATTATTTTGCTAAGAAAATATGAATTTCAAGCTTTTTTCCTCATCAATATCAAGGATTGTACCCCAAATCTTTTGTTCAGTTTAACTTTGCAGAATTGTGACAAATTATGAGATAGTAAAAAGCTAAATTCTCAAACAAAATACATTTTATGAGGCAAAAACGGATTACTGAAGTAGTGGTGACATATTTTTAAAAGATCAAAATTCAAATAAACTATTTAACTAACAGTTTTCCCTGAGCACTAACTACACCAACATGTCGTCTCCGGATATTCATGTCGCTTATTGAAAACCATCTATCACGTCGCCAATCATATGCTTCCACTGAACGGAATGGATCACCTGATGTACCTGCAAAACATATATTTTTTTTGTCGCCATCTACTTAACATTGTTTCTGAATTTCTGTCATTAAAAATGTGATTCCCATATATGTGTATCTATACTACTCCAAAAGAGAGTCAATCTTACTAAACATTGGAAATGAATCAGAAATTACCTCGTCCACCAACGCAAAATATAACACCTGCTGCACTTTTCCTCGGTCTACAATTTGTCCACACTCCAAAAGATGATGGTGTTGGTGCATACATATGTTTTATCGCTGTTTTATCTGTTATGTCCGTTATAATACCTGTATCTTTGTGATTTTTAAAATTTCATCGAAATTCTGTAAAGCCTTTTTTTGTGGGTAGAAGTATAAGCTTATAACTATATTTATCGAAATGAAACAAATCTATTTTGTTTCGAATCATGACCCAAAATACCTTGGAGGTTTATAGTGCTGCTTGAATGAAGACATCCAGTTCCTGCAGCAGGAAATACTGGTGAGAATGATGCGCTTTCCATGTTACTAATTCCAGGACCAATTTGAGCACGCATCATTTCACACATCGCATCCGCCACCAAATCTCGACAACGAACGCATTCCTGAAAAGTTGCAGCTGGTAATTCCTAATTCTTACACTCATTTATTCAGTTCTAAATTTTTGTCTGCTTTTGATTAACAATTAACAACTTTGCAATAATCTTTTCGTTAATGAGACTGATAGCCCTTTAAATAACATACCATAATTAATGGGTGTTTTTTCACTTTGTTTAAGAAATAAGCAGTGGGTAACTGCGGCAAACGAACAAGGGCAAGTAAATCCGGTAAACAACTTCTTCGTTCTTCAATGTTTTCCTCTACCCAAAATATTACTGTTTCGAAAACCTAAAAAATTCTATGTTCGGATCAAAAATCGATATCAAAAAATCCCATCACATTTAAGACAATCATCGATTTGGGAGTCTCAGGAGCTGATAAGTGTAGTCATTCCTTCGCCTGAGATTTTATGAAATATTCATTCCTTCATTGCCAACAGTGTTTACCATTCATTGCAATTTATTTTTTGAAAAAGCAAATAACCTCCTGCTCATTGTTTACTTTCAGGTCAGAACTACGTAAAAGATCAATCAAATGGCCAAATGGTATTCGCATAAAATCCGGAAGCACTCGTAATTCCTAAACATATACATATATAATTTTAGAATGATATTTTTTAAAATGTAAATTTAAATACTGATAAAATATACCGGGAAATGCTCCATTGCAAAGTCATCAACAGATGACATCAAACTGATACAATTATGCTGCTCAGCAAATTGACGAATAGAAAGGCAATTAGCGGTTGTCAAATATTGTGTTAGAAAACGTTGACATGCACCACATACAGTATCCATCTGCAAAAAAATTAGACATGTGGCATATATATCTATTAACTATTAGGCAGTAAAAACGGGGGTAAACTTCCTGTATTCCTGATTACATGCAAGTTACATTTCGTCAAAAGAAGTAAACTACCTGCAAAATGCTGGCGGCATATAGCAATTGCTGAACATTATCACCATTGATATGAACTCTGCTGGTATAAGCAAAATCCAGAAGTTGTTGGAAAGCAACAGCAGGGATATCCTATTTTAGAATGATGGTAGTTAAATAATAAAATGGAAGGAAACAGATATGTACAAATCATACATGAAAAAATATTTTTCCAAATTTAAATTAATGAGTACATTTATCCATAAAAACCCAAAAATAAAGCAGACAGCTTGGTCTAATAAATGATCAGGAAAAAGAAATACTGATAAACCTGAATAGCAATCTTGCTTTGACGTGATTCAATCATTTCGGATGCAAACATTGAATGAAAATATGGTATGGCTGCAGCAAGAACATATCGATGAGCACTGAAGGTAATCCCTTCAACCTTAAATGTATGAATTAGGATACTAGTGACTTGCTTATCAAACTTTTACAAAAGCGTTTTTTCTTGTCTTAGGAATGTTATGCTGCTGTCCAGTCATCAACCATAAAGAACACCATCTTTTAAAAGAGACAAATACCTCTTCTAGCTTCGAATTTAAGAGTACC